AACATAGAAAAAAATATGTCATGACTTTACCAACAACCCAATATATGTTCATTTCTCATTTGCTTTAATTTCAAGATGAACACTTAGAAAGATAACATTTATTCTCTCCCTTTTTATACTCAGGGTGTTAAGGAATTAGCAAAGCAGGTGAAGAGTTTGCCGGTGGTCAATTATAACCTCCTCAAGTATATTTGCAGGTAAGACTTTTCCTAAAGACAAAACTAACCAAAATAAGACTATATTTAGGCTTACATTCATTTATGTTTGACGATGAATAAAATCACTTAACTGCTCTGACCTCCAGTGTTGGCCTCTATAAAATTAAGAGGGTTGACAAAGTGATGGCAAAGGTTTCTTTGAGCACTAAAATTGCTTGGTTTTGTAATTTGTTATTTCTGAAGTCTCTCATGCCTCTACATAGTAAAGCTATGTTGCTTTGAACTTCTGTCAGAGTCATTTGTATGTACCACATACTGTTGTTTAAAAGAAGGAGCATAGTCCTTGACATGAGGACGATTTGCGAGGAGTCCGGATTCTACTTGTGTTTCTTTATGCAATTTTCTTACTCTGTCAGAGTCTGAGTCCTAGTAAGTAAAATGGTAGTAAAAACACACAATTTACACAGTTGTTTTAAAAGTTAAATTATATTTTTAAATGATTAATGTATAGATAGCAAGTGCTCACTAAATATTGTGGGTTTTTTTTCCATTCCTCTCCCTCCTCAGGACTCATTGAAAAAACATTTGTAGTTCAATTCTGTTAGAACAATCATTGTGCCTGGTAAAGCTCTTTCTCAGTGACTGTTTTTAACTTAAAGCCTGGCATGGGATGTGGCATGTCTATACTGCTGTTTAAAAAAACCAAACATGTAAAAAACAAAACAAAAAAGAAACCGAACATGTAAAATTGAAACATATTAAATTTAAATAAAGAGATTGAGAATTGGTACTACTGCAGAGTATCTTAAATGATAGTTTCCCAGTCCATTTTAAAATTCAAACTTTTAATTTGGTACAATACATCATTTAAGTAGGCTTTTTGTGTATGTTGTGATTAGATAAATAATTAGCAGAGTAGGAACTATGGCATTTGACACTATTTGAAAAAGCAAGATAGTTTCACTGATAGCATAGACTTATTAACATGTAAGACTTCCATCCCAAGATTTTGAACTAAGTCAAGCTATTGTACTAGATAATAAAAAGGTTACATTCTCTTTAAGCAAAAGGGGAAAAGACTTGAGAACCATATTGCAAGTCTTTATCTCCACAATAGAAAAACTCTACCTCTCTTGAAACATTTAAGCAGACTTTTAATTTCAATTTCAAATAAGAAATGGTAGTTTGACTTGTTGTCCTTCAGTTCTACTATAGCTTAGTCTGTATAATAGTAGTGAACATGGGTAAATAGGCACCTTTTAAAAGTCATGATGTGGTAGTTAAGAGCACACTCTAGAGTCAGACCGCCTAGGTTCAAATCTCATATCTGCCACTTGTTAACTCTGTGTCCTTGGAGAAGATTCTTAACCCCTCTGGTACCTGTGTCTCATCTGTAAAATCGAGGTAATAATAGTATGTACCTTACAGAGATTTTGCTAACTTAATAAGTTAGCAAAATGACTGACACATAATGCAATTTATTAAATAACGCATAAAATAAGTTCTTTTTTTTTTCATTACTTCTTCCTTTTCTCATCAGTACAGTTAGTAAGCCATGAAATAATAGAAGCTCTTATAGAAATGAAGAGGGGGTGAGGAATGAAAAAAGCCTGAATGATTACAAAAACAATTCCTCCTACTAAAATCATTCAGGGAAACAGCTATTTCATGCCTCTTATTCTTTAGCACCTCATAAATTGAAACAATTTGCGCTTGTAATTTTTTATATCAATAGAACTGAGGTTTTAATTTAAACCATGTTTGATCTCACTTTTTTAACAGACTATAAATTTGAAGCTCACAAGTTACTTCACAAAGAGGGTTGATTCCTCCTCTCTGAAATAAAGGATTGTACCAGACAACTTACTATAGTTCTCAGACTGAATATACATAAATTTAATACTTTATGGAGGGATTGGAAAGGAATCCATATTCTTCAATCTAATGTCCATATTAGCATTATCCAAACATGTTCCTGTGACTGACAGGAAGCCAAACCAGGCCAGGCCAGAGATGATATTTGATATGATCTCTCAGGTTTAATTCTTAATAATTTACAATATATTTTTTTCACATTTGATTGACAGATGTTTGAATTTATGAATAATTTTATCTCCATCGTCATCTTTGAACATGCTCCATTTCATAAATATTTCCTCATGACCAATTTATTCCATCAATGAATTTTACCTCATTGAGTTTTGTTCACATTCTTACACCCAACAGGTTCTTAGATGAAGTACAGTCCTATTCGGGAGTTAACAAAATGAGTGTACAGAACTTGGCCACTGTCTTTGGCCCTAATATCCTGCGCCCAAAAGTGGAAGACCCTTTGACTATCATGGAGGGTAAGTACATGATTATCTTATACTCTCATCAAAAGAATAATCACTGTTTCTTTGTTGCCCTGAACCTATTGAGCAAACTAAAGACATAAGTGAATCCATGATCATCCCATTTATTGACTCAAATGGGGTTTCTGTATCATATGTATATGTTTTATTTTATAATAAGATAAGGTTTTTAGAAAACCATGGACTAAAGTATCTTTTAAGCTTCTTGTACCTTCAAATTTTGTATTTTCTAATGTCAGCTAAACTCTT